AGTCAATCCCCCAGTGATTTGGCTGTTTGCAGTGAGGACTGGGCCCTGGAGGATGCCTGGGGTTATGACAGGCCCATGCCGAGTGTCCAGTTGACCACATTTGAAGCAGTTCTCGGGTGGCTTGCCCCTAGAGGCAGGTGGCTTTGGAGTATGTGAGCCTTAGATGGCATTAGCTAGGAGCTGGTGTTTGGCCTGATCTCTTTTGTAGTTTTTTTGAATATCAGGGGCTGATTGTGTAATGAAATGGGAGTGTAAGATGGTCAAGCCTGCAGGGGAGTTTGGATCTATACATGTGTATTTATGTAAAGCCTCACAGAGGTGGGTTAGGAATTAGTAGCCTTTTGGGGGCCGTAAATTAAGTATGTGATCATGTTATCCCAGAGATCCCGATCTCCATGGCCAGCCTGGTAGTCCTAATTTGGGTCCATGCAAGGAACAGCAACGGCTCCCACAGGCCGCCTGTTATTTTGAGCATGTACCTCATCTGCCTGTCATTGGGCCGCCATCCAGACCTGCTCCCTGTACATGGACTTCGACAATTCCCTCCGTCCCAGCCACTTTACAGAGGGGGATATAAAGGAGCCAGGGCTGAGGACAAAGAGAGGGAAAAGGTGGATGGGCTGGTGAAGGATTTGGAGTGTGTGGAGGTAGTCGAGGTGGCCCGTATGGGGAGCAGAGTGGTCTGATGGATCAAAAGATTAATCCGAGTCCTGAAGGGGAGGTCGGGCATGAGCCAGGAGAATTTGAGATGTAGGACAGTTTTGACAGAGAGAAGAATGCGTTCAGAGATAGGAGAAGGCTGAACAAGGAATCTCTCCATCTTGCCATTTCAGTGAGTATCTAAATTGAGTGCCATCTTGTGGCCACTGGGATCCATTGTCACAAGGCTTTTGAGTTTTAACCCTGGAGGCCGAGAGATTGGCCAGGAGACAGCCCGGAAGCGTAGAGCACAGAGTACAGTAGAAAACGAGATGTCTAGGTTTGGATTGTGAGGATCCCACTTAGAGGGTGAGAAAGGGAATGGGCAGTCCTGGTAGGAGAAGGGTGCCAACAAAGAGCGTCCTCTTTGGTGTCCACCTTCTTTTCGAGGGAAAAGCCACGACCAGCTAATGAAGCGTCCTTCAATAGCTCGGGGGCATGAGAAAAGTTCCCTCAGCCAGGCGCCTAGGCTTCATAGAGACTGGAGTTGTAGAGAGTAGTCAGGGGGACTCGTAGAAGTAGGCAGGACAGACCCACTGACTCACCCTGAATTGAGGCCAATGTTGGATGCGTTTGTCTGAAATGGCAAAAGGAGAGAGTCCTGAGTGTACCTGGTTCGGCAGGTCTGGGAAGCGTGGCCAGGAGCCAAGCAGCCCAAGAGAGAGGGGATCACCTAACAACATCAGCCACAACCTTTCCTGGGTTTTGGCACCATAATGAAAGAAAGTGAGCCGAGATGCAGGGTACCGATCAAGCTTTATTAAAGGAAAAGAATCTGCCGGGCTGTGCTCAAAGTGGGAGGCAGCCCGGGGCTGCCCTCAAAATGGGGGACAACAGCTAACCTAGGTTGGTGGGAGCTTATATTGGTATGTTGGTGCCAAGAGCTGGGTGATGTAATTCCGGGGTGGGGATTGAGTTAGGTCATGGGGATGAAGAGTTCTGCGCATGCGGAAACGCTGAAAGTTTTGTTTTCTCTGAAACCATGAGGCTTCTTGTAAAAGAGAACAGGAGAGGGGAGGTGAGGAGGTGGACGGCGCCATTTTGTACTTGGGCTTGTCTAGAATGGCGCTGGTTATGTTGCAGACCTAGTACCCTTGCCTTTCCCCGTTTAAAATTTTATATTTAGTAACTCTATAACCAGGTGGTTTCACACCTCCATGCCTGTTTATGCTAATCTCTTCACTGAAGTGCCTTCTCCCACCCTTCACCCCCTGTCTGGCGAATTCCTGCCCATTCTTCAAGACTCAGTTCTCTGTGAAACTCCTTCCCACCCAACACATCCACCCAAATCAATCTTCACACCTGTGAGCAACCTACATCACTCAGTGCTAACCCGGAGGGAGCACGCATCCAGGAGGTTTATGTACCTGCCCCTCCCCCGCTCAGCTGAACCAGAAATTCCCCAAGGGCAGGGTCTATGGTGTTAAATTTTGTGTCCCCAGTCCCTGACACATAATGGGAGTTCAACAAATACCTGCTGAACCAAACAGAATCCAGATGAACAAGAAATGCCCTCTGACGTGTGGATGTCATGATAATTTAATAGCGTTCCAAGGATTTGCTTATTGGTGTCTTTAGGACAGACAGGTTTGAAAGCCTCTGTATAGATGTGACACCCTATCCCCCTTGCAAAACAACACATTTAATGAGTAAACTGAAGGTGAATATTTGCATCTCAAAAGGTTGGGGGGGAGGCAAGTTTCCTTTAAACATTAAGCCTTCACTGGAACTTTCAGGAACCTGCCTTACAGATCATTAACTTCTGGGAGAAGGTGAGAGCAGGAGTTATGGAAAAATTACCTTCTGGAGTCTGAATTCAGAGATGCCTCTGAAAAGAGAAAGCAAGTCAGAAAATCTTGGAGCCAGACAGAATCGGGTTGTTAACATAAAAAGAATGAGGCAAAATACATACAGTAAGGATTTATTGAGCCAATATGACGATCGCAACCGGGTAGACAGAGTCAGGTTGCCCTGAAAAATGTGTTCCAAAGAGGGCCAGCAGAACTTAGCAGTTCAGAATCACAAGGGGGAAGAACCAAAGGAAAGAGAGGACAGCCCTGCCTAACTACTTCATCAGGTTTTCTATTGTTATACATGACATATAGATATGGGACTGTTACTAGGATGCACAAGGGTTACAAGAGCATTTTAGGTTATTTTATGGCTTTCTGGTGCCATTAAGTCTGCTCCTAAGTAAAAATGGTCTTACGATAACATTTCCCAGGACAGGTGGACGTGACTACTGACTTATCCCAGATTTCCAAGGGACTATAAGCTAGGTGACCTGGTCAGAGAAGAATTTTTTTGGTTATCTGGTTCAGATTCTAGCTATCCTGTACTAGCTGTGTGGCCTCGGGCCACTTAACTTCTTTGTACCCTGATTTCCTTATCTTTAAGTGGAAATACACTATTCCTATTTTGCAGGGTTATTGTAAAGATTTTAAAGATCCTACGTGGAGTACCTTAGCTCATAGGAGGTCCCCAATAATAGAAATAATATTGTGGTTAGATTTGACATTGCACATGGAGGGGAAGGAGACTTGAGCGGTTTTCAGGATTTTTCCTTGGACAGCAGGAATAGGAAGACAGAGGATCCAGAAAGGTAGGGCCAGACCACTTCATGATCTCAAAACACTTTGTGATTTTTTCACAAATCTTTGATTTTTGTAAACTAAACCTTTCCACGTTGAACATGCAGATGCTGGAGACAACATTGTGCAATGTGTTGACCTAACTGTCTTGGACTCTAGATACCTGCCACTTACTAGCTCTGTGACATTAGGCATTCACCTCGACTCAGTTTCCTCATCTGTAGAAAGGAGACAATAAAACAGTACCCATTTCTTAAGGTTGTAATATGAGATCTTGAATGTGAAGGGCTTAGCCCAATGCCTGGCACACAGTATGCCCTCTATAAATAGCACCAGTTACCACAGTGTGAAGTGATTGGTACTAACCAAGAGAGCAGTAAATGCCCTGTTTTAGGAACTGCTTGCTCTGGAGCATGGAAGGGGAAGGGGCCCTGGACTCTGGAGATCACCTGTCACCAGAGCTGTGTGACCTTGGTTTTGTTCCTGACACAGAGGGTTTGCCCTAGAGAATCTCTCAGGTTCTTAAATAGGCCAGTCCACTCAAAGCTCCCCAAACAAGCTCTCAGGCCTGGGTGCTGCTGCCCTGCCCGGATGTCCCCTCCCCACCGTCTGCCGTCTGCCGGGGAACTCCTCCTGCAGTGCTCAAGAGGCTCGCCCGGGCTGGGAAGCTTCCCTCCCCTCCAGCCCCTGCTCGGGCACTCAGCACACTGTGTGGCCCTTGCTGTTGATAGGTCTGTCATCTAGTGACCGTAGTGCACAAGTAAAAGCACCCCACGCTTGAGAATGAAGCTTGTGCCCCACGCTTGAAAATGAAGCTTGTGGGCTGAAGGAGAGAGGACCGCGCACTTTGTCCTCGTTGAGATTTCCCGGATGTCCTGACCTCCACTCTTATTGCTTCCCGTCTTTTGTGGAAAAATAGGTTCGGAAAAGGGTGAGGCTCGGTCACCTCCCTCTGGGTGGAAAGAGAAAGCGCCGTCGGTTTGGACCACAGCTGCAGGTAAAGCCCTTGCGGCGACTTCCTCCCAGGTCTGGAGAAAGTGGCCAGGCCTGCTGCAGAGTCCCCAGGCCCTGAGCACTGGTCCCCACCTAAGGCGGCGGCAATGCCGGCGGCGGGCTCCGGCCGAGCAGGCGCGGAGGGCGGACCCCGGCCGCTCCGGGTTACCCTCGCGCCTCTGCAGAGCCGACACCAGTGACCTTGACCTCGCAGGAAACGGCGCCCCCGGGCGATGGGACGGCGCCCCGGGGAGGGCGGCCGACTCCTCCGGAAAAGTGGGCCAAACAGAGGGCGCCCCTCAGCTTCCAGCCCGAACGCCGGGCTCCCGCCAG